CAACATCCAAGTATTTGCATGTTACACTGAAGTAAATATAGAAACAAACTGGTATGAAACATCAAATGATCTTGTATAATCTCTGTTTTAAAGCATGTTTTTAACGCAATGCAGTAAGGACGTTTAGGTTGTAGCCCATAAATCAGTGTGATTTGATTGTGCACACTGTTTTCACCATGCAGTAGCAGCAGCAGTGGGTTGCCACAGTAACTGAGACTGGAAATAATTAAACAAATGGGGTAAAAAAAAATACAAGAATTGTGTTCAGATCTTATGTCCAGGGATATATACAGCAAAATAGCCGATTGTTTTGTAACCGATTTTTTTTTAAGCACTTCAAAAACCAAACAGCAAAAGTCAAGGAAAGGTAAACATTTACTTTGCCTGGTCAGGGTAAATCCACTACTACAGCTTCAAGGTGATATAACCCTAAAACATTTCTATTCTGAGAAATAGAGCTATTATATGATATTACAGTTTTATTCATTTTTTACTCTTATATTAGTCACATCCCGTTTTCTTGAAAATGAGCTTGCTCAGTGACAAAGGGTATGCCTGGGATTTCACAATTTTGAGTGAGAATACAAAGGTCACTGCAATGTTTAAATAATCTTTTTATTTCATGTTCACTACCGTTCAAAAGTTTGAGGTTGGTCGAATCATTCTAATACGCTGATTTTTTTTGTTCAAGAAACATTTCTTATTATTATCAATGTTGAAATCAGTTGTACTCCTTAATATTTTTGTGAAAACCGTGATAGATTCTTTCAGGATTCTTTGAGGAATAGAAAGGTCAAAAGAACAGGATTTATTTGAAATGAAAGTATTTTGTAACATTATAAATGTCTTTCAATTCAATGCGCCCTTTCAAGAGTATGCATTTTTATTCTTTTAAAGTATTTTGCCGACCCAAATTTTTGCATGGTATATTTTTCATGTTCATTTTTCATGCTTCTCTACTTTGTAACTGTGGTACAGCATTATTTTACATTTGTCTGTCTCAGGTCTGTAACCCAGGTGTAGGCGACACTATACACAACTATTGTGCGAAAACCATAAATGGGACCCAGTACATCCCATTCTCCCATTTTGCTGGGAAGCATGTCCTCATTGTCAATGTGGCCACCTTCTGAGGACTCACCTTTCAGTATGTGGGTAAGCATGCAAATTATTTCACTTAACACAAAAATATATATAAATATAAAAATATTAGTATGTACAAACATTACTTACGTTTGCAAATTAATATGTGCAAATATATATTTGACACCTCATGACAGCAAAGACTGAAGAGCAAATATGAAACCTGTTCATGATAATTGTATTGACTGAGCGATTTATATGCTATTTAGAATTGAATGCACTACAAGAGGAGTTCCGAGATGTTGGATTCACTATCCTCGGGTTTCCATGCAACCAATTTGGGATGCAAGAGCCTGGAAAAAATAATGAAATTCTTCCTGCATTAAAGTGAGTTCATGTTTAATCAGAAGACACAGTCTTTTAAGGCTTCTCAAGAGCATTTTAACCTTGAGGTTACTGGCCATCACTCATGAGCCACAACTACCTGAGCATCAGACAGTGTGCAATTAGCTTGTCTTTCTCATCCATCATCCCCTTTAAATTACTGCACATATCATATATCTTGAACCTAAAGGCTCTTTTCTGGAGTGATATCTGAAGCCACTTATCTGGCCATAACTCTCTAAAGTCTCTATTTGTTTTCCTTGTAGACAGACCCTTGATGAAACAAATTTCTCTTTGTCTTCACAGGTATGTCCGTCCAGGCAATGGATTTGTTCCAAATTTCCAGTTATTTGAGAAGGTGGATGTGAATGGAGTCAATGAACATGCTCTTTTCACAATTTTAAAGGTTGGTCATTGCTTAATAAAGCATTTTTTTTAATCTGAAATTGCTTGCAACACCTTATGCAAGAAAAGCCTTTTAGGATCAAGCTTTCAAGAAAAAAATGGTCCGTTAACACGAAATTGTTGAAATTTAAAACTATTTACCCATTTTGGAATATATAGAGGCCCCAAAAAGTATTAGAAAACTTAAATGACACTTAAGATATCTACATGTCATCCCATTCGAACAAATTGATATCATAGAAATCAATGAATACAACAGAAAATATAAAATGATATCAAACCAAGTGTCATCTACAAACATGAAAAAACAGTATAGCTGTTGTTTTATGTTAACTTAAGTGCACTTATGTTCACTTTTTGAAGCTGTAAAAAAAAAAACTGATTATTTGAGTACATTTTACAAGAAAATATTTCAGTCTTTCTACTTCAAAATTTCACATTCGATCCCATGTTTCTTTGTAATAATTTGTGAAATTTACTAGCAATTTCTGTGTGAAAATGGTTTCATTTTTTTTTTTCTGTGTTTCTTTCAAATAAATGCCTCTTATTTTAATATTTTGCAATAAAACTCCAAATACTTTTGGGGACTACTTTTCTCAATCTGAGATCTAAAGATAAAGAACCTTTATTTTTAAGAGCTCTTTCTCTTTCAGAATGCTTGCCCACCTGTGGGAGACAGCTTCGGTAACCCCACCAACAGATTGTTTTGGGAACCTCTCAAAGTCAATGACATCAAGTGGAACTTTGAGAAGTTTCTGGTGGGTCCAGACGGCAGACCTGTAATGAGGTGGTTTCCCAGAGTGAACGTTTCTGAAGTTAGGGCAGACATCTTGAAATACTTCCGTCAGCTTGTTCAAAAGGCTGATTAACTTTGAAATAGTGGATTTAATTGTACATTCATCCGTCTCTCCAGCATAAACTGTGTTAAACTAGTTAACACAGGGTTGCTGCAGGTTTTATGAAGGTAAATTTAAGACTTTTTAAGACCTTTTAAAAACAGTTCAAGAACATGTAAGGACATTATGTCAATGTTCTCTAACTCTTAATGTCTAGGGAGCCTCAGTATTTCTTGTTTTACAGTGCAAAAGTCTAAAGATGTCTAAAGATTCTTAAATCAGGATGTATAGAAAAGCGAGTGGACAAAAGAAGTTTTGTTTTTGATCAAAGTGAATTTATGATTTAAATGAACAAATATCTTTTTCAAGTGCATGCAAAATTTAATCCCATTACTTTATGAATTTAAGACTTTCTACTGCGATTTAAGACCTTTTAAGGCCTTAATTTGTGGAAGGGGTGAAGTAAGACTTTTTCAGACTCAAAGAAACCCTGTAACGGCAAGATAACATGGCAAAGTAAAAAAAAATGCAAACCTTTGTGAATTGGATTATTGTTACAAGAATTTGAACAGTATGAAATTGAAGTAAAAGGATTCTCAGACTGCTCCTTCCGGAGGCTGTCAAGGGGTCGGTTGGAGACTGGCATGTTGATGACGGGAAGGCTTGAAAACAGACACTCTGTGGTGCCTGACCTGAGGCCGAGGGTCAGCGGCAGCTCTTTACTGCATTCAGGCTGCTTTGCTGTTCCTTTTCGATCATGTCTCATCTCCTAAACAACCCTTTGAACTTACTGCCACCTCTGTGGATGTTCAGTAAATAAAGACTGAAATGCAAGAAACAAAATGCTTTCTTCTGGTTATTGCATTCCAGGGAATGTCAGATATGGTGATGCAACTTGTACTTTAACTCTCACACAATAACATTTGGAGGTTTAGACAGTTAGAATATATTTATTATACTAATCAGTTACAAAAGTTTCACACGAGGTCTGCTTTCACCCACTGGAGAAAAAGAGTCATTCCAAAAAGCACAAAACTGCCAACCAGTAAATGATGGAAACGAGTAAATAAAGCACACATCTCAGTGTGCAATCCAGCTCAAAAACATTTCGACTTGAAAGCACTAAACTTAACTCGCTCTGTTGGTTAAATTCAACCAAATATTCATAAAATAAATGCCTGCCTTTTTTCTTTTTTTACATTTACATGACATGTATCACACCATTTGAAAGTTATATTTTGTGAGCATAGAAACTTTTTGCGTTTGGTTCAAAGCATTGGTCAGTAAGGTTGGAGACATTGCACATATGCGGGAAAACAGCCTTCATGATGGCGGATGACCGTAAAAGCAGAAAGGATATGATTCTTACCCTGTTCCAAACAGTGTTGGGAAGGTTACTTTGGAAATGTAATAGGTTACAGATTACAAGTTACCCTATTTAAAATGTAATAGTAGTGTAATTATTTCAATTACTTTATTAAAGTAATGTAACTGATTACATTTGAATACTTTTTGATTACTTTTCAAAATTTTTAACAAATGTTTTAAAATAATTGTTTTGTTTTTTTTCAAACATTTAAAGCAGTCACGGTTAACTTTACAGTAGGACTCAACACTAGTTAGTATCAGACTTTCAAAATCCTTCTTCACTTGAATTAAGATAATAATTATTTAATTTAAAGCACAACCACCACAAAATCAGACTTCAGCAGCTATGTTTACTTTGAGATCATTCTGCAGTTAAATACAGATTTATGATCATAAGATATAGTTTAATACTAGCTTTTTGAAATCAAAATATTTGCATAGCCATGACAAGTAACACTGGCATCTAGCAATGCTTTGGGGAAAAAAAAAACTGTTAATCTTTAAAAAAAATAAATAAAGCATATACATAAACCCAAACAGGAAATTAAACAGTTATTGAATAAGCATGTGTCCTATTCTGTGTCCTAAACTCCTGAAACATTGGTGTCTCATATTTTAAAGCAGTCGATGCAATTTGGGAAAGAAATAAATCAAATCTGTATGTGTGTGAAAATATTCAGATGTAACCCCCTTTGTAATCTTTAACATTTTCATAAGTAACTGTAATTTAATTACACATTTTTTCTTAGTAAATGTAACAGATTACAGTTACATTTATTTTGAAATTAAATTACGTAATTCCGTTACATGTAACTAGTTACTCCCCAACACTGGTTCCAAACATATTACAATGTTTTTAAGTGCAACACTGGACCCATTGTAATCAGACACTTGGTGATTTGGTTATTTCCTCCTCGTGTTCAGCCCAAATCAAAAATTAGACCAATGAAAGTGGGTTGCACTGATGTGATGCATTAACTTATTTATTCTGGCCCACTTCCTGTGATTATGCATATGCACAAACACACAAACTCACATCCTACAGTCTTCCAGTAGCTACAATATGTAAAGGGAGACACAAAACAATACACTAAAGACAACATTACTTAAGACAATAAACCACACTCAGCTGTCAAAACAATAGATATAAATAACTTATCACTTCCATTTGCACATCGGGAATAATGTTTTTGAACACTGAATCTTAAAATATATTAAGCAAAACTACCGTGATATTTCTGTCGTCCAGATGAAAGCCCTCCATGATCAATTATCATTTCAATTTCAATCATATATCTGAAAGATCAACAAGCCATGTGAAGCACTTATTAAAGTGTTCCCAGAATATAATCTAATAGATGAAAAGGTTAACAGGTGTTGTATATGGCTTCAATAAACAGTAGGGCAGATGACCAGTCAGAGAGTAACGCCAGCCTGTGGTGACACACGCAGACGTTCAACAGTATGTGACTCAATCTCAATCACGGCCAGTGAAGGAATCATGAATCAGTTCGGTCACATTCTACTGTTAGCTATTTTCAAGACAATTCCCCTATAGAGTTACAATTTTTAGATACACATTTTCTCTAATTGCACATACAAATGTTTTTGTCAGTCTCAATCAATACCAACACGTGTCAGGGAATCACTAAATATGATGTTTTCAGGTGGCTATTATTAAATTAAGTGGTGGAGATCTAACTCTATAGGTAGATTGTCATAAGAATAACGTTCAATCATACTATCCATTAAATAACTGACTTCAATTCCTGCATAGAATTATATAAAGCAGATAATTTAAACTTCAACAATCATAAAAAGGTAAAATAATAAATGTATATACTCTTAATTTGCCAGAACAGTGTTTCACAAACAGGATTATAAAACTTAAGTATATAAACAACATTTTCATCAGTGGTAGATATATATATATACACAGTAGGAAAAGAAACAATAGTTCACACCATGCCAACTGAAAATAAACTGCATCATGCTACTAGCTGGGAGCCATTCCAGGAGAGAGAATATGTGGTTAGTGCTTTCCGGGGTCTATGTTCTGACGCTCCCTTTTCCCAAATCCAGTTGCTCCCATTTCTGCCAACAAAAAAATAAACAAGTTTATTTTAACTTTGTCCCTCATTTATAAAACATCGTTTACATTTTTTTGTAAATAATTAAAATATTGAATTTAACACTTTTATTCAACAAGGTTGCATTAAATTGATCAAAAGTTAAAATAAAGACGTTTACATTGTCACAAATAATTTCTATTTCATGTAACTTTCAAATGAGCGCCAAAACCGCATATGAGAATGATTTCTGTAGGATCATGTGACACTGAAAACTGGAGAAATGGATGCAGAAAATTAATCTTTGCCATCACAGGAATAAATTACATTTTAACATTTATAGTGTACAGAAATAAATGAACATTTACTATTACAGAATTATTAATTATCTGACACCAAAACACCACCAAATTCAATTTTGATCTTGACAACATGAAATAGATCATATTGCTGAGCAAACAAAGGATATTCAGTAGGAAATAATGTAGGGCATGATTCGAGTTTATGCATCTGGATTTGACAAAAGTGTAAAAGTTGAGTTATGATACCACTAACAAAATATTGGTAGTGCGTATATACAACACTATGGAAAGTAGCTATCACTTCAGCAGAGATGTTTCATAGGTGGAAAATGACATTATGCTTTGATAAAAGAGTATGCAAACAAGCTTTTTCATCTTTAGAATAATTTACATTCATAAATTATGCACAATGGAAAGCAAATTGCATAAATTTTTATGCCTGTAGATCATACAGATAACCGAACAGACCCAAACTGAAACTAAACTTCATAGGCCTCGTACAATCATTGTGAAATTTAAAACTATTGCCATTTCATGTTTCTTCTGTCATGGTTCTCATTGTCGTCATCATTTGAACTTCCTCCAGTGGAAGCTGACTGATTCAGACAGAATGCTTGAAATATCACTGGGTCAGACTGACATTACGTGGCAAAACAAAATGAATCCTGGTGACGCAGAAAGGACACGCAGGATGAATCTATTAAATACCTGCAGTTTCTGGAGGGGGTCTCGCTGTGTCTGCTTGTCCTCTGGAACCACGTGGTTGTGGGAAGGATGACTGCCAGGGAAAACCCTGAACACACACAAACACCCAAATTGATGTCGAGAACAATGGTTTTGATCTCTGTCCACTTCTGCACACTGAAGACACACTGTACCTCTTATAAAAGCCTGTTTGTACAAATCATAATAGCCACACGTCTTTTTTTCATACCACATGTGGTTAACCACTTGAAAAATGCTGGAATGACACTGTTGTGTCTGTTCCAGGATGTAAAGGAAGCAAAACTCAGCAAAAAAACAGGAATTTTTTCTCACAGTCGAAATGTACCTCCTCTGAAATAAAACCAAAAAAAACCCCCAAAAAAACAACAACTACTGTGTTACAGTAAGTGTATTACTAGATTTGAGGCGAACCCATTACTTCGGTATCAAGTTGATTTAAACAAATACCAAAATTAACTTCTTGGGCAAAAATAATAAAATAAAAAAAAAATCAATTGAATTAATTGTGCCATGTAAATACAGCCTAATGGACTTGACTAATGTTAAGTTATTAACAGAAGTAAAAAGCGCAATAATTTATTTGTTCTTTAGTACTGAGTGTTTACTTGAATAATTGAAAAACTTAAAGCAATGCTTATTTGAGAAACACTTTAAAAGGCAGTTTTAATTTAATTTGTTAGAATTTTATATTCATATTTAAATAAGGGTGCTTTTGTTGTGGTATCAAAACCCCTGAAATTTTTTTTTACTGCTGTTGCTATCGCATACTTACAGGGTTGACAGGCTGGAAATCCCTGCCAGGTGCTGTACTGATGTTAGGCATCCTGGGCGGGAAGTGTATGGGCCACCCCTCTAGACCTTGATGGCCCACCTGTACAAACGGGCCACAGTATGGAGGGCTCATCGGGCCATTAGCCGAGCCAGAAGTGGGATCGGACGTCCTCCTTTCCTGTTGCCCCTCCAAAACATTGAAAAACAAATTCTAAATAAGTTACGGTTGTCTTCCGTTTAGGAATTCTACCACATTTGTAGACTGTGATCTGTATTAATAACAGCTTCTACCACAAGGTGGTGCCAATGTGGCACATTTACCTGCTTATGTTGCATCTGAAGTCTCTCTAGTTTACACCTCTCGGCACGCTCTCGCTGACACTCATTCTGTGCTTGATGAAGCTGAGAAACAGAGATACTGAATTCAGAACTCGCATAAGATTCTTTCATGTCTCATTATTAACCAACTGGGCATTTCTCTGGAGTAGTTTCATTGGTTAGAGCTGACAGTCTATGGGTCCGTGTAGTTACTGACCTGATTCGTCAGATTGGTCAATTGACCCTGCAGCCTTTCCACCTGCCGCCTCAGGTCTTCTTTCTCTTCGTTCATCCTCTCTCTGTCGCTCCTCTCCTTCCGGAAATCCTCTTCAAATATTTTCACCTGAAAAAAATTGCATGTGATGAGGATGCAAATCTACAAGATCTCTGCAGCCATTGGTGCATTTCAGCAGACTGTAAGGATGAAGGAAGCTATCAAACCTCAAGCAAACTCTATGACTCACTGTGGAACCTTGACACATTTCTTACAAAGCGTGTTTGATAAATGAGGTAAAATGTCTGCAGAATCAATTCCTGTAGAGTTTCAATGAGTGAAACCTTAACTCCTAGAGAACCTCCGAAAAAATTTGACGCAATGAGAAAACTCAAGCGTCCTGAGGAGCTTGTTCACTGTTTCAGCTCATCTGACCACAGCAGGGCACTGTGCAATGTTAGTGTATACTGTGACCCCACAGTATTTGCACACTTGAGACACACAAATGTATGAATTTTACTGCAGTCAATTTTAGAGTGGTCCCCACTTGTTCCACTAACATTTGACAAGAAGAATGTTGTTTTTAACATTTGACAACAAGATGTATCGGAGTCTTCAAGTGTTTGTACCTGCTCCTTCAATACAGCTATCTGTGTGTGCAGCTCCTGCTGTCTCAAGTTGGCCACACCTTCTCCCAGGTTCATGCCTGGCTGGGTGGAAGAGGGAGAGTGGAGGTTCAAAGCTTCCTCTAATGCCTGTAAAAGAGACAACACAATCAGAACTGATGTTTGAATTTAAAACAATATTAAAGCAAAACAAATTTTAATCAGCACAACATTAATAAGAAATGTTTCTTTAGCACCAAATCAGCACATTAGAGTGATTTCGGAAGGATCATGTCACATTGAAGTCTGGAGTAATGGCTGCTGAAAAATCAGCTTTGCCACCACAGGAATAAATTACATTTTAACATATATATTCAAAAAGAAAACAGTTTAAAAAATCCAGCCTTGGTGAGCATGAGACTTAAAAAAAACAAAAAAACATTAATCTTATCGACCCCAAACATTTGAATGGTAATGCACTAAATAAATAAGAAAATGCATTTCTTTTACAAATGCCATAGGGCTTTGGATTAGTGCCTGCCTAACTAAATGACAGTGGAAAGCTGTGTGTGCTTTACTGACCCTATTAAGCCGCTGGATCTCTTTCTCCTGGTATTCTCTTTGTTTAGTAAGTGGCAGCAACTGGTCTTGCAGGTAACGTACCTTTTGTTTCAACTCACATGTTTCCGAGGTGAGGCACTCCTTCTCGCCCTAAGACAACATTTAGAAATACACAGGTTAGCCACGAGAGCAAAACACAGTCACTTGGTCATATATCTAGACTTTATACAGTCAAAGATATTGTAAGGGTCATTTATTGTTTGACACTAGTGAAGTGAGTCTTTAAAAGCATCTTACTATAAATGTCACATATTTCCAGTAGGGCTGCAACCAGTAATTAATTGGCTACCTTAATCAAATTATATTTTTGATTAATTAGATAAAAAAAAGTGCAAGTTAATTTCCTGTATTGCAATTAGGAAAAAGTCTATCAACACACTCTTTAGTTAAAATTACTGCGCTACATTTGGGTGCTCAAGGATGTCTTTGAGGTTTACCTGCAACTCGCTTTCTGTAAGGATGTTTTGCAAAATGGAAATTATCACATGACTTTGAATACATAATGTCTTCAAATAAAAAAAACAACAACTCATAATCACAAGCAAGCATTTGTCAAAGCACCCGACACATGCCAGTCTGCCCACATGAAACTCTTATGACCTTCAAAGCATGTAATACAAAAACCTGTGGTCAACATCATTTTTTCAATTTCGATATCATAAAAATGCATTTTTAATGACTACAAGCATGTATGACATACTAGCATCCGACACAAAATTTTGGTATGCCTCTCCTATGGAACATCTGTGGTCTGCTGTGGGGGCGAGTCATGCTGACAAAACTTTTGTAATGCTGTCCATAACTCATAAAAAAACTAAAAACCATGAGAGCATTGAGATGTAAAGATAAGTAGGCAGTAGATGTGAAAATGAAACCAGTTGTCACATGATGTCTATGACACTTAACAAATTTCTTTATGACTGAACACCATATCAGCAGCAATGGCTATATTCATGGCAAAATCAACAGTATTATAATTACAATATCTGACACTCATTAAAACTATAAGGCAGTTTATCTGTAGCATGCTTGACTGTCCCCTCCAGGACTGAAAGGAAACCACTGCTATATACTAAGAATGTCATATGGTCAACTAATGGGAATGACTGGTGCTTCCCAAGAGAAAACTGAAAGCACCGAATGACTATTTGAAGCCTTCATTGAGCTCCACAGGGGTGCAAATACAGCAAAATGTTCCATAAAGAGTAAGAACATTTAAATTCTTAAAAAATAAATAAATAAATAAAGAAGGGCTTATTAATGGTCTTTTTTTTTTTAGAAAAGGAAGAGACTGTCTGACAAAAATGTAAAGCTTATTTTTCATTTAGGGGTAAATTTATCTGGATTAAACCACAATAACAGGCTGACATATACTTATACATATATACATATACATACATATACATATATATATATATATTCAAATTAGCCAGAAAACAATGTATGAATAGAGGAAAATGAGTTAACTTTTTAAATCAGAATTTCTCTCCACCTAAAAGTAATAAGTACAGATTGACTGTGGATGTGCCGTCTGCGGCTGAGACTAGGGTGTACCTGTACATTGTCGATCTTAGACTTTGCGAGGAGGAGTTTTTTGTCGTAATCTCTTTGTCTCAGTTCACGTTCTGCTTCGAGCTCAAGCACAGCCTTTTGGGAGTCAGCAAGCCGCTGCCGTAGGTCTGTGATCTATAAAGGAGGGAAAAGTCATAAATTGATGAAGGCTCATCTGACAGTTTGTTTTTGTAAATTGGTTTCAGATACATCTGTTAACAGGCCATTCTAACACAACATAAAGGACCATTAGTTACAGAGCTGCACTGAACTGGGCAAAAATGTTGTATATTACAATTTGCTTTAATCTAAATGCCCGAGTGTGCCTTTATCAGAAGTTTGATAAGGGGTTGTAATCTATTTTTATCAAAGAAAGATTGATAAAAAATAGTAAACTGCAAAAATGGAAAACAAAGCAATAAGAATAACAAAAAAATTGAGCTGTTTTTGTTCCATTGCTCTGAGTTTTAACACAATCACCCCATGACGACAGAGGATGCGTGTAGAAAAACAACCCCGGTATGCTTTTTTTATTTCAATTTTTTCTCTCTCCTCTATCAGACCGAGCAGATGCAGAAATGCAACAGGCATCACTATCTCTGGGCCGTGAGATCACGTGGCTTTGCAACCTTGGCCAGCCCCTATGGCGAGCCACAACAGGAAGACAGAGGGTACCGGCGAGGTGAGGGAAATTCTGCCAGAGGTGTGACAGGAGGGGCCTGTGGTCTGGTGTGCAACACTGTGAAACACACACAGAATTGCTTTCCATTCCTTTGCCCCAACAGCATTTCCACCACCACCCAAATGCAGTAACAGGACCTGTCAACACCCTACACGTTATACAGGAATTTCATGTGATGATTCATATGATTCGATCTCCCACCATTCACACACCGGCTAGCTGGACTCATCAAGCAGTTGTTGTTACTTAGTAGAGTGATTCATGTTTCTTTATGTTTCTTTTTTTTTTTTTTACTATCAATAAGGTGAGCTACAAAGGTTACAAGGCCAACTGGAACATATTTATAGAGCATTTCTAGGTATATTTTGTTATGTACCTTCTGCTCAAACTGTGTCTTCATTGAATTCCACTGAATGTCCCACTGTTTGTTCACCTCCAGTACCTGAGAAAGGTCAAATGCAACAGTTTACACATCAGAGTCAAATGGGAAACTATGACAGCAGTAAAGCAAGCATAAAGAAAGCAGGGGACCTCCAGAAAATTCTTACATCTTTCCTCTGTTTCTCCAGAAGCTTGATCTTTTTCTCATACACCTCCGGATCGCAAGTCTTAGATGGTGTTTTTTCCACAGCTTTACCAGACTGTAAATGTTAAAAATAATAATAACAATAATTAAAAAAAAAAAAACTATTTCAATTATGCATTTGCAGCCAAATACCAGTACTTCAGTACCAAGTCAACTCTAAAATGTTAACATTTTTAAACAAAAATAAACAAAGATTTAGGCTTACAAAAACTGATAAATAAATGACAGTGACAAAAAAATGAAAAGAGAAAATCAGAAAAAGCTCTTAAATTAGCTTGTTTTTTAAATTATTACTGTTAAACTTGAAGATTAAATATTTGCCATTGTTCTAAATTGTTAATGTGTTAATATTTAATGAAGTGGAATTTGTTTGCAAAACTTTAAAAACATTAAACCAAGAGACACTAAAGTATAATCCCTTGCTCTGTCAAATAAAAAAAGTGACCAATAAATAATGGCCAAATCTGTATCCATCCTATATCTTTTCAGCAGAACTGAAACTCAGTATGAATTAGCTTCCCATTTAAATGTCATAAAATATTCCTGCTAGACTTTAAACTGAAAACTGATAGCATAACATGTAATCAATCACAGCAATTAGTTCATGACCGACCAAAGAATTTTCCCATCATACTACAGTACAGCAGTCTTTAGGTTGAGTCAGAATGCAACACAATGACCATGTGTATTGTCCTTCAATATTTAGTCATACCGTGAAAAAAAGCCCACAAACGAGGAACTTCAATAGAAAGACCATTGAGGAAGAGCAGTATTCAGAGCCAAGGTGGTATTCCCAAAACTAATCTAAATGGCAAAAGTGACTCAATAAGACGCCTCTCAATTTAGAAACCGGGGAGCAATTTGCACATTAGTTCTTTTTTTCTAAGAACTCCCACTGAAAAAGCTAACAAAACAGAAAAGCAACTAGACCGCAACATCCCTGGTCTGAAAGGGAAATTAAAGACAAAAAAAAAAACCCCAACACAAATTTAGAACAGCACCAGGAATTCTATGGTGATGTCACCTGAGATAAAGAAGTTAATGGAAAAAAAGTGCACAACTGGTCATTTCCACCTTAGTTTTGGTTGTCTCTTCTTTCACTGGCTCCTCCTTTGGGCTCGGTTGCTCAATAGGTGCTGCTTGGGCTCCTCCGCTGACCTGCTCCTTCAGTTTCAAGTTCTCCTGCCTGTCCAGAGTACACAGAACCAAAATTAAAACTGGAAAATGAAGAAAAGAATTGCAGGATTCTCTATTTGACACAGTCAGAGAACAAGCATCAGATGGAAAGACCCCTCAGTTCCAGCACAGCGGGAAATACTGTGGCCCCTTGTTATATTTTCACAGTTTACTCACACTGATTCTTCTCACAGATTCACAATGGGCTTTTTTGCTTTTAGTTGTTCCATGAGTAAATTAAAAGATGACTTTATGATAATGAATATAAATGTGAATTGAATTACCTCAGCTGTTCAAAATCAATGTTACGATACTGGAGGTCCTCCTCCATTTTTTTCCTGAGCTCATTGTTTTCTTGTCTTAGCTGTTCGCAGAGTGTCTAGAGATAAGAGCGAATTAAATTCTCAGTAAATCAAACATTGATTAATTCACATAACACAAATAATAGCCAATACAGAGGCTTAAAAGGTGTCACAAGCGCAGCCATCTCACCTGTAGGAGAGATGTTCTCTGTTCGTTCTTCTGGACCTTGGATGATAAGTGGTGGAATTCCACAGCCATGCGGCCCAGGTGAGACAGCAGCTGGTTGGGATTGGACTCTTCAGCAAATACACTAAAAGAACTCTCCAGTCGCCGGAGTTGACTTGCCAGCTCCATGTTCTCCTGTGGCAGGTGAATCACTCCAGCCTGCATTATAAAGCAGAGTTTACCTAAATATTCTTCCCAAAAACACCCCAACATATAATACCAATCACTAGGGATCAAGTGGCACTTTTACTGTCAATATCTAGACTTCATCATCCCCGATACATAGGAAGAGCACTGCGAAACCATAAACTGAAAAAAAAACCTTAAATACCTCTATATAAACATTTCCAGTTTTGCAAATTTATGAACAGAAGGTTTTGTAAACCTAACCAAAGAGGTATTCCATAAACTGATACACACTCGTGAGTTTTTCAGTCTATCTGCATAGTAATCCTGGAGTTTCCCTCCGAGTCATCCAAGGAACAGCCTCATACAGATTCATTATGATGAACAAATGCCTGATAAGGAACGGCAGCAAAAAACAGCTGAGCAACTACCGTGACTGGAATGTGGCACACATGACTTACATGCGTGGCACAGAATGACAGAATATGGAATGTTCGAAACAGAGCAACAATCCAGCAAAATACACACAAAGTTCACACGTGCAGTTGAGTGACTGCAGCTGCCCAGGATTTCCTAACATCCCTAAAACTCACCGTCTGGGTTTCCGAGGCCGTCTTCTCTTCCATATTCACCACCTCAAACTCAGATGAACTTTCCTGTAAACACAAGAATTCATAGCGTTGCAACACTTGTTCTGACCGTCACACAGAATACCAACTCATAAAGAACATTTTACCATTCACAAATGAGGAAAAACTACAACTAAAACTAGAAGTTAAATCCGCATTAGATTTATACAGCATGTTGCGAAACAATATGTTTATGTTTAGCACAGCTATGAGGGGAATATATCATAACACGTGCATTGCGATAATCGCATACAATATGAAGTCATAAAGGATATTTCACTGTTCACGTCAAACCAAAATAGCCAGCAATTCACAAAATTGGAAGTTATATTCCCAGTGTGGGATTTGCACAACATGTGAATACCATACTGTTTTCATAACTTCAAAGGTATAATGGTAATTCAACAAGCTATACCGTGTTATGATAAACTCATAAAGGATATTTTACTGTTTTTACTTCACATGGGAATCAAATAAACAGCAATTCGCAAAACTGAAAGTTACATTACTATGTTACATAACATAATTGACTTGTGACCTTAAAGTCATAAGGGCCTTTCGCACCGCAGGAACCTTTTCATAGTACTAGAACTAATTGTGGAACTACCCACTTTATGGCGTTTTCGCACCGCCGGAACTGGGTGCGATTTTAGTAACGGACTGCCTTTTTCGAGAACCAAATTAGCTCCTACTCCGGAGCAGGGTCTAACCAGCACAACTGGTACTACCCGTGATGTAAGTAGACATTGATTGGCCAAATGCGTATGAAACTACGTCAACTTATTTCGCAAGTATGGAGAACAGCGATAGATGGACGGACACTGAAGTGCAGGCACTTTTGAACATTTACACAACGGAGGAAATCCAGTAGGAATTCGAAGGAACAAAACGTCCTCCATCCACCTGTTGTTAATGTTGTTCTTCTTTGTTTCTGTTGTTGAACGCCGCGCACAAATGACATCGCTGTCAACCGGCTTACGTCACTTCTTAGTACACACTGTCGGTGCGAATGAAACCATGTAAATGGTACTGGGAAATATTTTGCACAAAATCGTCCCAGTACTTTAGTACTGTACATTTAGTTCTGGAACTAAAGTGGTGCGAAAGGCCCTATAATGGTATCGTTTTGATAGCATGTTTCCAAAAGTTTCAGTAGAAGTGCTTACAGTTGCCTCTGGTTGTAAAGTATTTCCAGTTAAACAATCCAGAGATTCTTGTCTTTCTGTTGTAGGATAAGCGTGATGTTTTCCATGACCTAAAGGAAGCCACAATCACAAGAGATCTGGTTAAAAAACAGGTCTCTCCGGTGTCAAACCCTTTACCAACCTCACTCCATCAGAATATTGATATAACTGTACCTTGTGTGTCTGTCTGAACAGGGGTGCCCATGCAAAGACTGGAGGCAAAGCTGGTCGTGGACGACTTCAGTGCTTCGTTATCACTCACCAGCTCCTCCACCCTCTTCCGAAGCTTGGCTGCCTCTGTCTGAGACTCCTCTAACAGGTCTCCTTCCAGTCACGAGAAAACAATGGGTTACATGACATAAGCACACATAATAAAAAAACAGCTGCCCTGACACAATTGCATGTCAAATGTTGGAGTTACTGCAACACTGCGCCAGCTGCTAAAAGCTGAAAATCCAGAATCGCTTCATTTCTGATCCAACAATAGACCTTGAAGTCTAAATTAGCAACACAAGATACCAGTGAACTAATAAAGGGGTTGATGACTCAGATGCCCAGGATGAGCAACATGTAAGGCATTTAACTATATGTAACCTCAACTTAGACACTGACAGATGTAGAAATTGAAAATATTAAGGTGATTTTTATAAAATCTTCCCAGGTGGAGTATATTAACTGAATGAGCCGGAATCAATCAGGTTCATGATTCTCAAAGGCATTAAAAATAGGTGGCAGGCAGTTTATAATCCCTCACCTAAACTCTTCAGACCTTTCATTCTCTCCCTCAAAACGGCGTTTTCCTCTAGCAGCTGTCTGTAGCTGAGGCTGCTGGCCTCGTCTTTCACCTGGCAATCGCTCCCACCGGGGTCATAGATGCGATATGGGCCTTTTCCCTCCATCTGTCACCCCCGTCACTTACCAAACATGTTTCCCTGTACTAAGACAAAGAAATCAGGAGGTCATTCATTTGTGTGTACTGTACAGACAGGTTAAACAAAACTCTCAGATTAGCACTGACAGCATAGAAGTGCATAAAGATTGTTGATTTGCAATTCAAAGCGAGGCATTTGAATAATGGCATCTTGGGGATTTTTCTTTGGCTATTTCAAGACATAATGATTTGAATGCACATCTTTGATATCATATGCCTAACTAAATGTGTCATAGCAGTCATTAAGATATTCTAAAACAGTTTATGATTTTCCCATCAGCGTTTAATAAGTCAATCAACCAAGACCAGCATAAATCCTCACTCCCATATAACCATGACAAATGACATTTACGCTAAGTGACAGGTAAAATCAGCAGCCAAACAAAGGAATAATCATGCGCCACCAGACAACATGTCATATCCTAGTAAGACAATTTCTCAATAACAAGCTCTTGAACACCAAAAACATAGCCACATACCTTCACAGCAACTGTAAACCCAAGCAAATCTAAAGCTAAACGCTTTCACTTTCCTTTCCATGACAAGACCTGTTTAAACAGCTCTAGTAGTGTCAACGTCACGGTGACCTTAGACCAGAGGAAACCTTATCTAGAGGATCATGTTTATTTCTAATCCCCTCCAAGCTCTTAATCAACAGCTCTCAAATGACTTCACTTAACAATACGACCTCAAACAGACATGGTATGGAAACCTTAAGCTTTTATTAAGAATGAGCCGAAAGCCCCTACCCACACAAGGTCAAAGCCAACGTATTTTGTGTTCTAAATAAATGACTCACTTTCAAAACAAATGTGATGATATTAGCTTAGCATCCGGCTAACAGTAGGTGATGTGTTTATCATGCTAGCAGACAAAAGCTTTCACGCTAGCTCTCCCTAAAGCCACAAACAGCGCCTAAATACGCACAATAATGTATTAAAAGAGGATAAAACATAACGGTCGCACGATAATGTTTATACATACCTGTATTTTACCGCTAGTTTTTTGTTTTTTATGAAAAGAGGAGCTCTTTCTGTACCTTGACGGAGACGCGTCTTTGATCGGCCGGAGGTTTGCGGAAGTGGTTCGCGGCGCGAGCTGGGAAATTCCGCAGATGTAAACAGAGCCGCGTTCACTCTAGTGATGGGAAGTCCGACTCATTTCCGCGAATCGGTTCATTCAAACGGTTCGTTCGATTCTTTCACGTCAGAACGTAATTGCGCCATCAAGTGGTCCATTATAACACACTCTGAAACGTTCAAATAAAGACATTTTTTGGCATGCATCACAATAACGTTTTTCTAGTTTTAATAATAATAAGGGTGTTTATTATTTCCTGTTTCCAGTTCAGTGTGTTGCAGCCAGCGTTTACTTGTAAAAACATAATGTAATTTAGAACATAAATATAATTTGCTTTTACAATACTAAAAACCAAAGGTTTAATCAAAATTCAATTTTTTAAGATAATTTAATAAGATCTGTCATAATCAGGCCACAAACATATTTCCGGTCCTTTAAAATCTCTCAAATGAGTCAAATCCGGACACTCCTCGGTTCGTGGGCCATTGCGAATCGATTCTTATTACGAACCGCTCGGAACGATTCAGTACAATTAGTGAAAGATTAAACCGCATAAACACATTTCATTACACCAAATACACCAAATAATGTTCTTTTTAGCAGCATCATATGACCCCTTTAAATATATTGGCTTAGTGGCTGTACTATTTCAGTGACTGATCTCACATAGGCTACTATAGAAAAAATGGACTCATCTTCACATTCTATGATTGATCGTCGTGTTTTGATTCACTTTTAATGATTCGTTTATGGAGCGCCTGCTGTTCATTTGACGTTAATGTTTCACTGCACTAGTTCTCCTGTCTAATGTTTAATGTGAAACGTTGTGATCAACGTTAAAGCCTACCAAAAATTGTAAATATATTTTTAGTAGTTCGTAACAGGATAGAATATAAATACATATGTGACTGTAGTTTACATGTGTGGGTAAAATATATCTAATCAATATTAGATAGCCTAACATGTTTCAGATTTATATTTAATTAAAAAAAAATTGCAAGGCGTCCTTTACTCTTTATTTAGAGTAGGCCCACTTATTACCGTTATAATCCACCTGGATCAAATTAAAGTTAGACACACACAATGGCACAGACACACATAAACTGCACTTTATCATACAATTTATTTTCATTGACAAAACAAGTAGTTTTATGAGGAATATGCATATCATTGTGTCTCTGGTGCATTATTTTTGGCCCGCATTCATTAAACAGCAGGAAATTAAATTGGCCATCTCAGCTGTTCTAAACCCCATTAGTTAATCTGAAAATTAAAAACAAAAATTAAAATACAAATTTCAATTCATTCTATAATATTTCTTGAATCTGATCTGTGCTAATTTCACTAGTACATGAAGAAATTAAAAAAATCACAAGGAAACAGATAATGAGATGTTGAATTGGGTAACAGAAGAGTTGTCATTATTGACCAATTCTGGAAGTTCAACCATTATAAGCAAATGACTGAAATGTTTGTACATCGTAAATATTTTCAGCATTCTTAACATAATCACTACACTATATGTCTGTGTTTACTGCATGTACAGTACGTTTTTAAATATGCATTAGAAAATGGTTTTAAAATACAGTCATGATGAGGGGTGAAACATGCTTGGCATATGCTATCAGGAATTTTATTGTCAAAATATTCCACAGTATATACAATAGCCTACTGACAGTAACAAAGCGGTCAGGAGTTTTGACTTTATGATCATTTTCTCTCCATTATGAAGAGAGGGTGTCTATTTGTTTGTAATTTTCAGCATGTTTCCAATGATACCATTATATATAAGCTTTTTGTCCTGTAATCCAAGTATGAGTTCAGTTTCCATCATTACAACACCATAGAGCAATAATATTCTTACAGGAAATTTAATGCAACTTTATGACACAGTTTTTTAAGTATCATTGATAGGCTAAGGCAGCCATCACCAAATCAAAATGATTACCCTAATATCCTCTTTGTAAATCTTACCCTGCATTGAAAATAAATGGTGACATCTTGTGGAAATTTACCACTGCGGTATTAAGGATTAACATCACACACGTGCTAGATTCTGCCACATATGTGTGTGAGATCTAAATGTATGTTTAATGATACATTTAAGTGGTTACCTAATAAAAAAAATAATACAAAAAATAAAAACACTTGTAATATGATTTATTTTAAATACCGGAGGTCAACAATCAAGCAACTTTAAAACTTGTACAGCTGCATGTACAGTAAAGAGTGTCCAAATGAGTGTCCAATTGAAATATATGCATTTGTTTAATTAAATTAAATGCACTCAAAGATAGTGTTTACAAAAAAGGAATCAATTAAAAAAGCAAAATACTGTTTAGAAAGTTAGATTAATCCAGTTTGAATGAACAACACACCTTTTAGTAAACAATACATAAATAGGTGACTTTTAATCAAATTTCCTTTGAAATTTACTACTACAATCAACATCATCATCAAAAAATAAATTCCCTTTTGTCACAGCTTTTATGGAATCAAAATTGACTGATTTACTGATATAATTTCCCATTTTTATCCAAGCTTTAAAAAAGATACATCAATTTTCTTTCTATTAATAAATAAAAATAAAAACATGGTTACTCACCTACACATTATACTTGTGTCCGAGAGGCATTTTTTAAGGAAACTGGTGGCAATGGGGGAAGCGTTTGCTGTGTTTTTAAACAGAAGGGGAAATTCCCACATAGTGAAAGGCCCTGATATTTTTTTTAGCTCAAAAGTGGGACCTGGTATGCGTCCAGGAACTTGAGACTGCTTAGCTAAGTGTTACCAGACAACAGATATTTAATAGTAACATAGCATATTTTGACCGTTTACAATGCGGGAGTATGCGCTGTAAACAGGAGTGAAGGATTATTACATCAAATTATTTAAAGTAACTACATAAATCAGCAGTTTAATGCCTGATCTTAAGTTAGTGGATTATAATACACCATAAGTCTACATGCATTTGTCTCGAAATGGTCCCATAAATAAAGCTCAACAAAGGACAAAGGTCATAAAACAAGTATAACTGCATTTTAGTTGTCTTTCAAAAAGTAATCACAATTACAGGCACAACGGAAAGTGCACTGACAAATAACCTTAAATTTCTTAAATGCAAAACTGCATGCAGCTTTTGTAAAATCAACAGAAAGTATACTTATGTTATGCTGTTTAAGTTTTGTCTGCATAGTAACCTTTTGTTACCTCTGACATTAAGCATCTCGTAACACCCTGGATTGTTCAGTTTTGTCTTTGCTTTTGCATGTGCAACTGTTCACACACAGTCGAAAATGTCATTATGATCATGCATTTGATGTTTTGTTCTGAATTTAACAATGTTATTGCTATTGCAGACATCATCGATGGTGACTGGGATGTTGGTCTACTTGCAGGGGATTTCCTCTAGCCCCACAAGCTTTTTTCTTCTTTCCTCTTTTAACTAAAGATGGCCTGACAACAGCTGCACTCACACAAAGACATGTCTGCACACACACACACAAACACATGCGTGCACGCACATATACACATAGATGCAGACAAGAGTATAATGAATTGATGGTTTGAAGGCTCATTTTTGACATAGGAAGGCTGTTGTACGGGAAAAGGCCCATCAATGCCTCTACTCACACCCTGAAATCAGCAGATGACAATACTGTTGCTGTCTGCTAACTGGGAAACCTCTCTTGAAACTGGTGCGAAGCCCAAGAGAACAGAAAATGCATTGAAGTTCAATTTTCAAAAAAAAAAAAAATCTCTCAAAAATGGCACATGATGTGTAATTAAGGTGTGATGTGCATCGAGAAATCCAATAAATGCAATGCATTTAGGGCAGACACTAGGGTTCAGCAAGTACTAGCAAGCCCTGTATTTTCTCTTCATTTTTAGAACATCATTTTACTTTTTTAATCAACATCATAATGCATGATTTATCTTTTGAAAAGTAAATAAAATCTACCGAACATCAAATATCACATTTACCATCTGCAATTTATTACCAGATATTTCCTATTAAGAACAGAGTTACATAGATTACAACAGGAGGGAATTTCCTAATGTGGTGCGTCTGTAATGTAAATAAAGTTAATGACTGATCTGGGTGAATCAGCTATTCAGACCACTAATGAAAATAAGGACGTGAAAAACATCCTCTGCTGAAAGAAATACTTGATGTTTTAGGCCAGTGGTTTCCATTTTTTGGATCAAAGGGTCACGAACATCAGTAGAAAATCTATGTCAAATGCAAATAATTAAATGCAACTACTTATATAATCAAGCACAGGTAGAAGAGCAAAACTGTCCAGCTTTTAAAAAGTAGGAAAGGTTTTTCCTGTATCTTCTGTTGTCAACGGAAAATTAATTTGTCACCTGCACTAACTACACAGAATAAAAGAATACATGACCCATTCTACATAAAAATAAGATTTGTCCTTAAGTGGGCATAAACTTGATCTGAGCTAACAATTTGTTTTGGGAAATATTGGCTGCTACATCATTAAATGCCTGTTCACACCAAAAACTATAACTATAACGTTAACTAAATTAGTGTCCACAACGTTCCGTTGCATTAAATGTTCGAGAAAGCAGGATAGATTCTGATTGGCTGTCAAAGTTTGTAGTGTTCATCAGCTGGGGAGAAAAATCATTCTGAAAGTGATTCCAACAATTTCTTTCCTCTGTGCCATTATCATTATAGTTGTGGTGCGGACTCAACTTTATTCTTTTAAAATTCAGAACAATTTTTAAAACTACATCTTTATTGTTATAGTTATCATCCACGGAGAGAATGGGCCTTAAAAAACTAAATGGTCAGTTTTCCTATTCAGCCTATAGAGCATATCATAATAATAATAGTGCAAATCGATGAACCTATGCAATTCATGAAAATACTAAAGGTGTGGTCACAAGGTCCATTGTCTATTGTCAACAGTGTAATCTGTGTGACCAACTTAAACCTGTTGCAAAATCTACATGTGGGAATATTTTACCCTGAACCGAAATTCCTAATCATGTGGAAATGACTGGATTTCACCTATGAAAACTCGCTGAGCAACATAAATTGTGACCGCACCTATAGTAATTAATTTTATTTGTTGACTTTTGTATCATAAACAATTTTGGTACTGTGTTCAGAAGCATATCACCACATTTTGTACTAGATTTGAAGCAACTTTTGATATTAAAAAACAACAACATTGGTGACCATTTAACAACACAAACTGAAACACGATCACGTCTTTTATTTCTGGGGTGATCAATTTAAACAGGATGTTGGGTAACAAATAAAGCACTAGTAGTACGGTAACACCATAAAAAGTGCTTTTAACTCTAAAAAAAAATGTGTTTAGTGCACGACTTCAAAAAATAGGACAAGGTGTGGCTTCTGCATAGGTCATTACTCATTAGCTTTGGCATAGGCATGGCAGCAGCAGCAGAGGGCACAAAGACTGTATGTTGACTAGCATCTCCCAAACAACAAATGGGAACACAGTGCACTGGTTACTAGACATGAAGATCATGTGACAGATCCAGGACAACAGACAGTGTTCTAATCCTCACCTCCACAGATAATCAAAAGGGTTTTACGATAGTCTCCTGATGTGTCACCCTGAAAAAAAATTATATGATTTGGTGAGACCAAACATTTTGGAATAAAGCATAAAAACATAACCAATAACTTGGTGAACGTACATCGTAATCATATCAGTGGAAGTTTGGTGTTGCATAATGATATTAAGCCATTATGAAATTCACTGCATTACTTAATTACAGAGCATTTTGTATAAACTTTCATAATAACTGTACGAGCAGTGAGATCAACAGATCACTTTCCTTCCTTCATAGACTAAAGTGCATTTCCATGGAAATAATGCTTGAAAATGCGAATGAGAATGCTATGAAACCACACAATTCTACAAAACAATAAATCTTTTGACACACACGCCTTAAAAACACACACACAGACTTGTTCTCAGCATGCTTTATCTGCAAGCATCTAAAAATAAATCATGCTGTTATTTTTGATTTATATATATATATATATATATATATGATTTGAATTTAAATTATGCATTAGCTTGTTTTGCGGTTGGTTTATTTGCCTACTGGCCCAACTAATAGAAAAAAATAAGCCCAAAAATGGCATAAAATGTATAATTTATTGTTGTTATTGATCTCTAAAGGGAGTTTTGACTACAGAGCCAGTATAGACCTGTTACTGAACACTTCCTGTCTCCTTTCTCTCCACCAATCAGAATCAGCACACTGAGAGGAAGTCAAGCATGCTGGGGAAATTCCTAAACAGCTGAGTTGAGCGAGTACACCGCAGGAACCTGCCAAACACTCTGTTCCCCTCGACTTAACAAAAAGAGGATGTGCAACACCTACAGTAAGACAAAACACAATATCTACACAACTCTCTTTTCGTCTGATCGCACCAGTAACACATGCACAAATGCATGCAGGATGTATGAGAAGGAACACACAACTTACAACAAGCGTTTCTACCTGGATGAATTCATGCAAAGTGGCGTCATGGGTTTCTTTGAACTCTTTGCGGATGTTGAAGAGGTCAATCTCAGAGCGGGACACCATGATACGGATAAGAGCCCTGTCGTCTGTTCCCAGGCCCTGCAGGGAAAGTCACAGCACTTAGGAAACTCTGGCCTGACCGCTGATCTGTGCGATGCTTATGAAGCAAAGCATCAGCAATAGTGCAGATGCTCATCACTGGGCCTGTGACTCATAATCAAGCCTGAGAACCATTGCTGGCTTAGATATGCCGTCATCAGATGAGCTCTGCATGACTGTTGCTTTACATAAGTGTGTTCAGTCCACAAAAACTAAGACCATAAATCAAGTTTCAGTTCATAGTGAGCGACTTACTCAGTAAAGCATGATTTTAATCAGTGTCTGTAATTCATCACTCAGAGTAAAGATTTTGCTCAGAGATCAGCTAAGGAGCTTATTTGAGTATCAACTCAGATTGTTCTTATGAGACAGTAGGAGTCAGAGTAGGATGAAAAATCATGACAAATGTCTGAGTTTTGAGATCTCTGACTTTTGCTTGTATCATATCAAATCTGAGCAGAGTTTGAGACATTATTGAAATGTGTGTGACAAAAATCTTCATTTGTTCTCACTTTCATATCATTGCTGTCTAAGAGAAAAAATTAAGATATTAAAGAAACCTGAGTTGTGATTTGTTCTTGTTCTATGGGCACGTTGAGTTGACTGATGTCATGTTCTTGGCCTAAATCAGCTGTTTGAGATTGTTCCTCCTGCTCACAGACAGATGTTGAGGAAAGTGTATTACATAACAATGCACTTTTACCTTCATGGCTTTGTACAATCGGTCAGCAAAGTAGGATGGCTGATTCTTCACACTCCGCACTGGAAAATATACACGTGTAATTGCTATTTTTTAAGATGAATGGAGTCATATGATCTTTTTGTATGTAAAACGTGATCAGAAATGTCACTGCTTGCTAATGTAATTGTTAAAGGAGTCATATCATACACACCTTATAACGTTAGTCAAGATTTTGTGTTAGAAAATAGAGTCATCATTTAATTTTAAGACTTTAAGATGACCTCTTCGCATATAAAATGAGTAGCAGTTTTACTGCATGTATACAATGTCTGCAGCTTTGTTATAAACCTTAATCAGGTTAGACACCATATTGAATTTAATGCGGATGAAAACAAGGCTGTGAAGGATAGACCTACAGTCTTTACAGAGGAACACTGTATAAAGGTCCTAGATCATGTAGTTTTCACAACTTTCAAAACTGTTTTATGGTGTTTTTGTCTACTGAAAGTTTTTTTTTTTCAGAAAGATGTTTCTTCAGATGAACAATTGGTATGTTATTAAACAACAGTACAGTCCATTGAATGAACTGTACTTT